TTTGTTTGTCAGACACAACAGTAAAGTGAAAGAGGCATAGTCAAAGTTTCTCTTACGTTGAATTTGAAAGCACTCGGTATTCTGAAATTCAGTCAACTTGTCTCACTTTGCTGTACGATGGCGATACGTGGTCTTTCAGAAGCAGGTTAAAAGTTGTGGTGGAGAGTCCTAAGAGTTGTTCTCATAGTACCCGAAGAGGCAGACGAACCTAAACCAACAATTTAGAAAAAAAAGAGGAATCATTCCTATTTCCGATGGGAATTGTTCAATAGGCCTCTATGTTGAATTACCGTTTTAGGCGGCATAAAGCTAGAACCACTTTTTTTTATCTCTTTCGTTTGTACTTGTGATGGTTTAGGCTGTAGGTGTAATAAAAGTCCGGGCTGGAATTCTGTGACACTCGAGCGTGTAGGGAACGAGTTACACCTGTAAAGGTGATGATTTATGTGGTCTGTTGTCATTGCTGTTTCTTTCCCCACCCCCATCCCTCTTGTTTCCTTGCCGAAGTTGAGCTAAAGGGTCCTGACGGACGGGTCGGGGACCCCCCTCGCCACTTCGCCACAATAAACAAACACTCCCGTCGAGGGGACAGCAGCAACACTTCCGTTTTGTTAATGACCCACCCCACAGGATCCTGATAGATCTTTGTGCCACCCGAGCTAAATCTGTCCACTTGTTTCCGAAATCTCTTCACCGAGGTTTCCGTTCAAGAACATCTACCAGTAGATCTTTCATTCCCACAATGTCACCTTACCCCCGTTTTGAGGGGATAGCTTCACGGTTTCAAACATAAGCCCAAAGCGAAATCGGCCAATTTTGTTTCCAAACTAAACATTCATGTATTTAGCTCATAGCTTTTACTAAGTCAATCCTTCAAAAACACTTAGACTCCCTTTTTTCAATATCTGACAAAATTGTCGATAACCAAGCACTCGAAGAATAACGAAGACTTCAAATCGACTCGTATTATTTTCTCGAATTTAGACTTAATCTTACCTAGTCATCATCTGAACTTAATAGAAAGCTGGTGATAAATTACAGTAATTGTACTTATAATAACCATCTAGGAATCATCAGAAACATGCAAATATAAAGTAAGTCGCACCATTGGTCACGATGTACAACAAAAGTAACATGTACATGAATTGTACATGATTGTACTGTGTTGCGTACACATAAGTGGTGGACTCCAATGCGATTTCCACTCGTACACTGAAGTGAATTGTCGAGTAACCTTGATAGTATCGATTTTTAGGCATGTTTCTTTAGTCGTCCGACATTTGTATTTAAATGCTGAGATCCCCAGGCGCGATTCTAAGATAGATAAGAGTCGGACAGATTCTCCAATTTAGAGCTAGTTCAACAATGTAGGGGTGGCTTTCAAGTAGTTTAAACAAAAGACCGCAGGCTTTTTTCGGGATTTGATTTGGGGGTGTACTGCATTTTCCCAAATAAGCGAGCATTTCTTTAAAATGTGTACAACCGTTTGTTGAGATATTTTTTTACAGCGTTAAAAGTATAATGTTTAAATTTGGGAAATTGTTCTATAAAGAAGTCGTGTTGATATGATTACACTTTCTGACTGAATGGCAGTCATAAAACGAAATAAATGTAATGAATTTAAATTAACGTTTACATTTTAAACGAAAGCTATTGTCGATAGACTGCTCTGTAACCGGCATGTCAGTGTTTAAGATTTAATATCTTTATCAATGAGGGAGAAACAAACATCCTCATCTCAGTGTAATCACGTTTACCCGTTGGATATTCAGAATCAACTGATTCTTAAAGAAATCTGAGAATTAAGTACAATTACCAATTGAGTTTTCTATTATAGTGTACCTCAATTAAAATTTTAAACTGAACTAGATTGCATGGATAATTATGTAACCGAAACGCACTGCAAGAAGACTTTTAAGTGTAACAAAGATAAAAGTCTGAAGGAAGACATGGGCCAAGCGCGGGCCGTCTGGCACATACGGGTAAACGTGGTGCGATAAACACGCTAATCCGATAACCTACATGCGAGTAACTCGATTCCAGCTATGCGCTGCACCACCCGTAAGAGTTCAACGAACGGTATACACCAACTTCCTCCTGGGCAACCGACCGAAATGAAAGCACGGGGGAAATGGAGACAACTAATCGCAAACACTGACAGCGTTTGGAGAACAATCGAAAGTGGAATATAAAGCAACAGGAACAAGGGTCTTGTCATGCATTTTTGTGACCCGTGGTGTGAATAATGCAAAAATGTACGCTCAGTTGAAAAGTCCGTATGTGCAACTTTTGGGCAATGTTTTCGCCCGAGACTCAAATTCTTAAATTGCTGGTCGATTCGGGATCTTTAACAAACTGGCTTTTAGATGCAGGTGTGTCCCCAAAGTGCACGCAGTTGATATTTTTGACCCAAGATGGGCAAAACGTTACGGAACAATTGCTCATCTGTCGGACGTATGTAATGTTTATCAGAGATGTAAAAAAAGGCTTCATTGTTTCGCACATGTAAAATGCAAGTCTAGTGTTGTCTGCAAGTTTTCAATGACCTTTTTTTCCCACGTGAGATTTTTTTCCTGTCTTTGGTTTATCGCTCCAGGGTCACGACTTTCTTTTTGTGAAACATATACAAAGAGACAAATTGAAGCAAATTTCTGCGGCTTGTCATCTTTTAAAATCATCCTCCTTGACACTTGCCACATTAAATATGTACAAGTTGTGACTGCTTGTGGAAACAGACAGGCAATTCCATGTTGTTCGAGTGCAGCCAATCACGCATTCGTCCGCGGTCCTCAACGGTGTTGGCCTATCCGTCGCGCCGCGCCCGTCCCAGAGGAGTGCAGAGTGTCAGATCACTCGCCCGTGGGCGCCGTGCTCTGTCACAGGTACATGTATACGGGGGGAGCAGACAAAACCGGGGCGTGAATGAGCCAGTTCAGCACCCGGCGCTCGCGGCAGACAACCCCGCCGAGAGACAGCGGCGCGCCGCCTGTAAACTCGGAGTCCTGTTTCACTCGGCCGCGTTAGCCAAATGTCCTGTCCAATCACTCCAGGAGCACTTAAAATGTTGCATGCTCAGTTCGATATTCTTCATGCCAAAAAACCCCTCCAACGTGGCTCTTGCCTCCGAAGTAACCGAACAGTTGCTGTTTTATTTTTACATGTAAACCTAACGTGACTGTTATAAGATGCTGCCTGTGTAAAACCTTCACACGTTAAATTGCATCTGAGCTTCATGTGAACAAACACACCTAACGCTTGATATCATCCTCGTTTCCTTTACCCAACACATTTAATAAAAAAAGATGTTTTTTCCCAAACATACTCAATTATCTAATTGAACCAGCCCTGTCGCTCCCCTTACCGCCCGGCCAAACCGACGGCACAAACTCAATTTAGCCAGACGACTGTAACTACTTCGTGATTTGTAAGTAATTCAAAAACCTGCACTCCATCTTTGTCCATGTAATTATTTTTTTTCCATTTTTTTTCTAAGCGATCTGCGCCCTGCCAACAAACCCTTCGAATTGCTTACCGGCTTATTACCCTCTACCCCGGAACTTGTAACGAAATTGAACGCAATCATCTTTGTTGCAACGATGCCCAGATTCGGGTGCTAGCTGCATTCGCCGAGTCATATCGGCGACTTCTTTTTTTTTTTTTTTTTTTTGCGGTTTGGAGGGGTTTTGTTTAGTTTTTCTTTCCGGCGTGCGCGCCACCGTCGACTCTCAGATGAGGAGCAGCAAGGAGCCCAGAGCAGGCCTCTCCAACAGCAATCCCTCCATCACTTCACCACCCCGCCTGGCCCACGGTTCGTGCTATCTGAAACCATGATGTGGCGGAAGCAAACTGTCATCGCGCCCGGCCGCGCGTGTGATTCTTTGAACAATTGTCCAGAGCGCAATTGTTATTGCTGCTATTAATTTTTTTTTTCTGGCGGGCGACTTCAATCTAATCAGAAATATCTGGCAATACCACCGTCTGATTCGTCCAAAAGGGGCCCCATTACACGTCCCATTGTGTGCCGGCGGTGACCCCAAGTTCATTTTCACACCACGCGTTTTTATTATACCGCTGTATTTTTACAGTTGCCAGCCGACTCGGTCGACGATGTCGCCTGCTATTTTCTTTCTTCCTTTCTTCTTGCACTTCTGTTCTTTTTAAAGTCTTTTTAATCGAAAAACCACTGAGCCTGAAGTTTAAACGGCGAGCGGGCTTAATGATCCAAGGCGAGCCACTGGACACTATTTCAAATCATCCGAAAGTGGGGCTCGTGCAAGGACTTGCCCGTTCATATATGACCAGGAACATTCTTTATTGAATGCACGAAACCACTTGGGCTAAACAGCACCTTGTCGGCAATGTTCTGATGTTCTTCGGAACATTTTGTAATCGGTCGAGCAAAAGCAAATTTCACAATTTTCCAATTGCGCCCAATTTCTGTTGTTATCTCGGGGGATTGGACTATATTACCGTGTCAACAAAGACAAAAAAAATCGGTGAAATTAATCATGATTTTACTTTTGGGGGGGTGAGGTTCGGGTGTGAAAATGATCTCAACTCAGTGAAACTACAACTGAGAATGGCAGTCTGATTTTCAGCTTCTCCCAACCTTTCAAACATTGGGTGAAAGCTCACTAGAATTATTCAAAAGCAGGGGACAATGCCTTACCAGTTGTTAGGCAGAATAACAGCGGACTTTTATTCCCAGCCATTTTTTTCAAACAGTGGGAAACATGATTGATAATCACTGGAAGTTTTTTTCATATTTAGAATAAAGTCAAGCCAATATAATTATGATATTTACCCAGGGGATAAATGTTAAGTGTCTTACCCTGGTAAGAATTGTTAGACTATCGGTAAACCGATGTGACTTTATCTCTGTTGGCAATTTGAGTAAACTTTGATCAAGACAGTTTTGATGTCTCTGCCGGGGTAGCCAGTAACAAAAAATGAACTGTTTAGGACTTAACAGTGTTATTTTCGGGTTTTTATTCATGAAGGGGAGAAGCCGTTCAAGTGTGAGTTCGATGGCTGCGACCGCCGCTTTGCCAACTCCAGCGACCGGAAGAAGCACTCGCACGTCCACACCTCGGACAAGCCTTACAACTGTAAGATGCGGGGCTGTGACAAGAGCTACACCCACCCGAGCTCCCTGCGGAAGCACATGAAAGTCCACAGCAAGTCTCCCCCTCCCCCGGGGGTCTTCGAGCCCGCCGGGGCCACCTCCCCGACCACCAGCTCCGACTCCTCTCCCCCGTCCCACCAGAGTGCAGGAGGAGCCGGCAGCGGTAGCGGCGGTGGCGGTGCGGGCGGGGCTAGCGGAGCGGGCACTGGTAGCGCGGGGCTCGGCAGCTCTATGCACCCGGCGCCCTCCTTGTCCAGCAACACAGGGACCAACCTGAGCGAGTGGTACGTGTGTCAGACGGCCGGGGGTATGCCCACGCCTCCCAGCAACGAACCCTCCCCTGTCAACAGCGGGGCACATCCCCTAACTTCGAGGATGCCTCCTCACTCAAGCAACAGTACGTCAAACTACTGAACAAAACTAACTTCTGCCAGTGAAAATCACCAAACCATACCGTAACTGGTCTATGGGAGAGTAAGTGATAAAACAGCAGTGCTAAAATTCAACAACAAAAAACTACGGGTAACGACGAGATAAAGAGAACCACAGGTCAGACGAAATACGAAAGTGTGTTGACTACAACTGCGATAAATACCGGAGGGTGCCATTGGTAGATCTGGAGTGACAGTGACGATTCTTGGAGTTGAGAAGGCGACCGTATAATCGATTACGCTTATTCTCAGGCGCTTGCGCAGGAATCGACACTTGTTTGCCGATACTACGCGTAGTGTCCCAACTGTGAATTCATGCTTCGACGAAACGCCGGATCCGAATTTCAGCCGCGGAATTCTCCAACTTGCAAGCCTGGCTTCACGCAACTCTTTTGTTACTTCTAAACAAACACTCAGGGTTGCCTGTCTGTGTTGACTCTTGATGAAAAGGTTGTGGTGAGTTTTGAAAAAGGGATTTGACCTGATCGACGGAAATGATATCGTGGACTCAGCAACAGACTTCCTTGCGTCAATTCAAGCAATCGAGTGTCTATTTAAAAGCTTTCTACTGAGGTTATTCATGGTTAACTCGTCACGGGGCTCCAATTTTGCCACTTCTCAGATGTTCCGAGGATGAAGTGCCCCGGATGTATGTTTCTTGTCAGCTCCTCTGTTACCATTTTTCCAATTTTTTTTCCAGTTAAATTGCTAGATTCAAAAACGACGACAGTGGTTAAAGATAATTCTGCCAAAACCTCATACACTCATCAGTACTCTGTATTCCTGGTACTTTAAATTTATGGTACTTAGGTGGAAACGAATACTGGCTGTAGTACTTTTTATGCGGGATTTTTCACGAACAAGAAAATAGTGAGGCAAATTAGGACAGGTTTAGGTTTAGGACATCAACCTCTCTGTCCGGCTTCGGACATATTTAGCAGATTGTGTTTTCTAGAAAGCTCCAACAAACCTGTGTTCACAGTATTCCGACCCCCACCACCAAACCAACTACCCCACCCCAAAGAAAGCATCCGATGGTATTCGAGTAAGTCTGGAGAGAGTACGAGTGGTGGAAACGTGTGGTGTAATTGGGTGAAATGATACGACATCAGAAAGTCACCACAGTTTCGAAGTATGTTAACAGTTTATTTTTACCTCTTGCCATTACGAAACGCCACAGAAACTGTGAATATGTCTTGTATAGTTTTTAACCGAAATTATTATAAGTAACTGTTAATCCAAGAGGTCCGATTTATTATGATTTTGTTTTCCTGAACAATCAGTAGATGGTTATTCAAAGACGAGAAGATAGATTTTCCCCGTTCGTCTAGTTCCCTTTAATCTTTCTCTACGCAATAAAAAAGACAATGACAATCACTTGAAGATCGCAGTGCAAGACTGACTACCGTCTGGCGTCTTGTAGTCCGGATCACCGTCTGCGAACGATAAAGGGGCGGTGCATTGTTCGAAAAGGGGGAGATATCAAGCGTCTCAAAAAGATATGGGAACAATGTCGCAATTTTACTTGGAATTCTATTTTGTGAGGAACTACGCAGGGCATACGCAACACAACGGCACGGGAGGGTATGCGTTCCAGTATTACCTGCACAATTGAAAGTTGTGATCCACCCTTCCACAAACGAGGCTGAAGTAGGTAATTTTAATGTTCAGTCATCCCCCCCCTCTGTTAGCTTTTATACTTTTAAAACATTTGGTAGAAATGGGCAATAACTGTTGTGGAGTTTGTATTTCTCATTTTTTTATAAATGGAGAATAGTACAAGTGTAGTTTACGATTCTTCAGCCTGGTTTTGGAATGATGGGCAATTTTTGCGCTCGATTTAGACTTGTCCGTTAATTTCTATTCTTCTCCAAGTACCTGAGGTTCTTGTCGACCGCTTTGTCTGGTGTCCAGGCGACAAGCCATTGTAACGTTGTTCTATTCGGGCCAGTTATCACACCACTCTGCGTGTGCTTTAGCCAAAGGCGCTAGATCTCGTTCATGAAACAATATAATGGGGAGAAAACCGAAACAAGCACACTAAACAAATATGGCTTATTAATTATGAGACTGCCTTTTCATTTTAAAATTCAACCCCTTTTTCCTTGATCTTTGTCAGAAATGACACAAACTTTGCCCACCTTTTCCTGTAAGCTCACCCACTCCTCCTCCCTCGTCACCGTATGAACGAGGAATATAATGTTCATGCCTTCTCCGCTATGATAAATTGATGTAAATTATATAGATTTTTATAATAAATTATCAGATCAGTAAAATATTGCTTTCTTATGGTCTTCTTTTCCTTCAATATTGCTCTACTTTTTCCGATGATGATCCGTGTAATACTGACTTGTGCATGGGTTGCGCAGTGGCAAAAGGTTTTTAACTACACCCGACTTGACTTGCGAGAAAGGAGCACGGTGTAACCGTGTGCGGATATCATGGGAACGAGGTTCCTTTTTGATCAGACAGGAAATTTCTAAATTTCTAATAGGCCCTGAAGTATTTCTTTGCTCTTGGTCAAAATCTCCCAACGTAACTTATTTTACAAGTCGGGCTCAATTGTCACTGATGTGTCAACAGTCAAGATTTCGTTTTCGCACATCAAAGAATACATACGTGTACATGAACAAAAGTATACGGAAAGTGAATTTTGTGATATGTGAATGTTAACCTGACACGCAGGTTTTACCAGAATCAAACTTTTTAATCATTTATTTACTATAGGCTGACTGGAGCGATTCGAAACGAGGTCTGATGGAGCCAAGGTCAATTTTGACCAAACAAAAGAAGCTCAACCTTACATATTAACACTAAGCCATGCTTTTGTACGCACAGGCATGGTCCCCCCGAAATCCCTTTTCGCCGCAAGCACGCCACCACGGCGCTTCAATTCTCCTCGCTCGACCAGACGGAAAATCGGTCCGACAAAAGTGGATTGTCCCGCTGACTCGAACCGAAACTGTTGGGTAAAAACTGACCGGAAAGAAGAAAAAAAAAGTCGGTCCACCTTCTCTGAAACATCAGACCACAAAAGCCATCTAAGGGAAGTCAGCACGTCGATTCCAGTGAAATTGCATAATTCTCTATGTAACTTGGGTAATGGTCTCTGTGACTGATGCCGTGCGCAGTTTGACACACGTCGTTTATTGCAGATTTTTCAACATGACCATGGCCATTATTTGTGACACTCACTTATCTCGGAGGCCCAGAAGACATAGAGTGGTGTTTTAAAGGTTGGGATGACATGTCGGTTGCCGTCTTAAAGTGTTTTCAAATGTTACCAATTTTGCAGTATGAATGTCTAAGGAGCGTCCGACATTGTGTAAGCTTTTTCAATTTTGAAATGCAGCATTTTCCGTCTTTTCGGAAAAAAAGACTGATTCGCATGAAGTCCGGTTGCTTGTGCTATCAACTATGCAAATGGTTCACTCAGAGTGTCAATGTGTGACGCATTGCTTTGCTTTATCATCGGATCTGAAAAACCCATACATTCCTTGGCAGTCGGTATGGAAAATGTCACCTTCGAATGCTCCAAGCACTGGTGAGAGCTGGCTCGTTCGTTGTACCGCCAAATTTGTTTAGATCGACGAGCGAGCGGCAAGAAGAAAGGATGAGCCACGTCGCCGCATACCTATCGGCCGGCCCAGGTTGAACCCAAGAAAATGCCAAGGATCGCTAAACGAAATCAAAGAAATAGTGAAGGAAAACATTCTTCCCAAAGTTCTTCCTTTTTTTCTGCCTTTGCCAAATGAAAAAAAAATTGAATGTACCTGAACAGGTGATACGTTTCTTGGCCTGGGGGCCGGGAAAGCCAATTAGCCGGGAGTGAGAGGCAGGCAGGCGCTGCTCATTTCGCGGTCGAAACACAGATCAAACGGATGATATGATTTTTTTCGCCAGGGATAATGCGCCCAGGTTTTTGAGCTAACTGGACGAGGGTCTCATATGTCGGCTTTGCGGTATAAGATGGCACAACAACGCCTGATGACGGAGGTTTTGAGGTTTCAAAGAGACCAGTGGAAATGGCTCTTTGATATGACAGAGGCATGGCGGTCGCTAATGCCTTGTTTTCACTCCGACCGCTGGATAAACTGTTCAGGGTTTCAGAAACGTAGAAGACAAAAAAAGTACGTCGGGGAGAAATGTTGCACACCTTCGTCCGGCGTCCCGTGGGATGGGACAGCTAATGCCCCCCACCGGGCCCTGGCAATGTTGTTTTGGCCTGGGATCGCGGGGAGGCCGGCTCGGGCAGCTGGCGAGGAAAACAACAGCATTTACGACGAGGGCGAAATGCGGAAGTTCGCGTCAGGAAATGTCAGGCGAAGTTGCAGGAAAGGAAACAGGTCTGGACCGCGCAAGAATTGTAAAGAGTTCTTCGCCTGCGTTAGGAATCAACTCTGAAACATAGCCAACGTCTTTTTTTCTCTGTTTGTCCTCCTAGAAATAAAGACATGATTTGCTTTTTATACTCTTTGACAGAATGACAAGTTTCAATTCTGTTTTTCAGACCAATTTTCTTCAAATTTCGTGGCTCTCGAAACAAAAACAGATCATCCCTTTTCGTGCACGATTAAGGTTTCTTGTCAAACACAGGCCTACAGTAAGCGACCTTCACTTCTTTTTCACGTCGATGATAAACAACTGAAATGTTAGGCCTGTGATGACATCGTCTTCGTTAGCCTTCGGTGTGAGCATGAATTATGGGAAGCTGAAAAAAAAATCAAGCACTCAGAAATTGTCTTCTTTCACGATTCACGCTGTTTATTCAGTGCACTTCCGTACCTGTGTGAGAGGTGGAAGTGCGTGTGAATCGCATTTGGCCCATGCAGGGCTTTCAATGATTGTCTTCAGTCACGTGAAAGGACGGGATGATTTAGCGGCACGGCGTATCCACACGGTGGAAGCCAGGAGAGGGTCGGTTCCGTTCGCCATTCCTCCCCCAGCGACGGACTGACTGATAACTCGGACTCAGACCTTTCGGGTGAATACACCCCTCAGACCGACCCAGGTGTTAGCTCTTTCTACGTCGCGGTCGTATTTTTTCCCCACTTTTGGCTGATAAACTACGACTGACCCTCAGTAGGGCCTGAATACAAAAAGGAATCATTTACAATGTTCCTTGAAGCAGTTACTAGAACAACATTATTAGCCCTACCTGTAATACTAAGTAGAACTTTAAGTGAAACTACGGGAGAGTACTGGGGCTTGAAAAAGTGACACAAACAAGAGAGATATCGGCAAAAGTAAGCTGCCCATACAAGCAACGACTGAAGAACTCAGTCAGGCAAATAATTATGCTCAGGAAAATTGCAAAAATGCCCTGATCAGCAATAAGAGGCGACTGGGTTGGGAAGTGAAACTCGCTTCTAAAAAAGAGTGTCCGAAGTTTTAGTTACTGTTGAGAAAAAAGTTGTATTGTCATAGGTTCTTATCGGAAGTATGCTCATGAGCCCACGGAGGGAAGATGCAAAATGACTTCCTTCCTCCATGATCTGTGTGACATCCTTGGCACAGAATATCTTCAACCTTTTTCCACGACAGTCCTCGGCACAACCCGTCGCCTACTAGGAACCCTTCGAGTTTATTAGCTTAATGCGACCAATCATGGGCCCATTCCAACCCGTGTTGTCACAAGCCAAGTGAAGCCCTTTTCCCGAGCCGGCGGCCCGGCTCTGGCTTGCGAAAACAACCCCGTGGCTTGTTGGCGGAGACGTCTACAATTTCGCCGGGCAAACTGTCCCCGGGCGATCTTGCAACCGATCCGCTCCGGTCCCCGCCACCTTCGCGGTGATTTGTTCCCCTCGGGGGTCCACGGCATCAAAGAGGAAACAGGCGCTCAGAACGAATGGGTTCCGGCCTGCTCTTAGTCCTAAAATCAATTTCTGGTTTTCCTAATCAACTGTTCACCAAATTCTCCTTCTCTCCTCCATGGAACAAGATTCTCCTGAGCGAAATCAACTACTGAGAAAATCCTGCCGTAGTGGACCACAAGGCTGACCACAATTGATCGATGCTTCGTTTGGCTGTTGCTCTATCAGTTGCGATAACCACTTCATGAATCCAACACGAGGTTCTCAGATGTTGTTTGTATATTACGGAATACCAGCGGTCTAACTGGACGCACATGTACTGCACCCGATCGCGGGATTAAAAGGGATTAAATTATATTTACAGTCTAATCCCGGGGGAGAGCAGCGACAAATTGAGTGACAGCGTATTATACAAGGACGAGGTCGGAATTCATTAAGAACAGAATGCCACGATTTCTTTTTTTCAGAAAGCTGTTTCTTGAGCTGACGGAACAGTGCTCGGCTTGAAGGATATGGTTTGGTCTCGCTCAAGTCCAACTAGTTTATGTATTATGCGAATCTCTCATTGTACAAAATTCCCAGTTTTTGCCCGCCAGTTAAAAATTAACACGTGTTAAAATTATGAAACGGAAATCCGAATAGCAAATGATTTAAGCTTTAACCATGTAGCAGTGTTTCGGTCGTTATCGATTTCAGTGAGGTTTCTCGTTTGAATTTAAAATTGATACAAGTAAAAAGAGGAGAATATTCCATGGTCGTATAACTTACAAGGGTGCTTAGTACAAGGAACTGTCTTTTTTATTCAATAATTCTTGTTAAAGTGTTACAGCTTTCTAGTTGCCTCTACTGACGAGGTTAGCTTTGCACAGAGATTTCCGTGGCGATGAGAGGCGATTTGTAGAGGTCTGTAAGGCACGGAGGTTTGCTCAGGTGCCCTTTATATAGCCATGCGCTTAAGTAAATGCGTTATAGAGATGGCCATAAAGTGCTGCGAGACGAATACAGCTGGAACCATATTAAAAAAGTATTAAGGGTTGCGTCTTCGTCGGTTGGAAAAAAAAACTGTTGGTAAATCTTTCATTTTGTGGCCTGACAATAAGGAATCAGCCCCCCCCCGTGCCCACAAGTCACGACCTCATCTAGATTTTCATCCAAGATGGTGCTGTAGGGGCCTACTCATCATCATATATTCTGGAAAATCACATCCCATCAGCGCTTCGCTGATGCGATTTCGGCTAATCATTGTTGCGAGTTACTCTCAGACAACGAGGATATGCGTTGAGGCGGCTGAGTTGTGCTTACTTAATAACAACTTTATCCCACAACCCGATTTGCATGTCTGTCTTGAATGGCATTATGCTTGCGGCTAGTATGCGGTTGACTTTTTGTTTTAAATTAAAGAGGCAGGAAATAAGTATCCAACCTTCCCAAAACTGATTCCTGTCACATCTGGTTAGAATTCAGC